AGCTTGCTCAGAAAGACTCATGATCAACATCAAAACCTCATGCATGAAATAAATGAATTAAAATCATAAAGATGCTACATGAGGTAGAAAAGGAAGCCCAATCTGAAGCAGCAGCAAAAGGTATTGCTCCCACAGAGGTAACAATGGTAATTAAATATGATCGTAACAGTGATCCAGGTAGATATAATTCTCCCCGTGTAACCAAAGTTGCCATCATTTTCAGAAACAAAGATGGAGAACCTCCTTTTGAAAGGGACTGGCTCATTCATCATTTATCCGTCCGGGACACGTTCAATCCTATTTTAAATGCAGGATAATTAACTTAACAGTGTATTGTTGATTCATATTAAAAAATGGAAACCAATGGGATAAATTTCATTAAAGCAAATCAATCTAAGTTGAGAGTTGAAATATAGTGGTTTGGTGGATTATCTCACATCTAGATCTGAAAATGACAATGTGCCGATTGGTAAAATGATAATACTTACATCATCTTTTGAGGGTAGCCCCAGAAATATGCAGCAGCGATATCAGGATACTATGGCAATTGTAATGAGGTATGGCAAGCCTGCTTTATTCATAACCATGACATGCAACCCAAAATGGGCAGATATTACAAACAATTTACAATGCTGGCAAAAAGTTGTAAACAGACCTGACTTGGTAGCCAGGGTTTTTAATATTAAGCTGAATGCTCTTTTAAATGATATCTGTAAATTCCATTTATTTGGCAAAGTTACAACTAAAATTCATGTCATTGAATTTCAGAAATGCGGACTGCCTTATGCTCACATATTATTGATATTAGATAGTGAATCCAAATTACAAATGGAAGATGACATTGACCTTATCATTAAGGCAGAAATTCCGGATTGAAGACGAGTGTCCTCGACTTTTTCAAATTGTAAAATCAAATATGGTACATGGACCATGTGGAATACAAAATCCAAACAGTCCATGTATGGAAAATGTTCAAAGGGATATCAGAAAGAATTTCAAAATGCGACCATTGGAAATATATATGGATATCCCCAATACAAAAGAAGATCTGGTAGCACCATGTCTATTAGAAATAAAGTTGCCGATAACACTTGAATTGTCCCTTATAACCCATATTTGTGCCTCAAATATAACTGTCATATAAACATTGAAGTCTGCACATAGATTAAGAGCGTCAAATATTTATTTAAATATGTCTATGAAGGGCACAATTGTGCAAATATTCAAATTTCTGAAAAAACCACAGCATTATGTGTTTAATAATTCTTTGTGGAGGAAACGCCAAAAGGGCAAGAATAAAGTATTGGATAGATTGTTCACTGTGAGCTTTAGAGAACCAGAATGATATTACTTTAGACTTTTGCTTCTGCCTGTAAAAGGTGTGGTAAGTTTTGCTGATCTGCGAACTGTAGGAGGTGTAATTTATGATACATTTTGTGAAGCTGCTAAACATCATTGATTATTAATCAATGACACTGTCTGGAAAGACACGATTGATGATGTGATTATCCTTAATATACCCAAACAACTACGGCAACCTTTTGCATATATATGTGTGTTTGGATGTCCTTCTGTGGCAGACAAATTATGGGATGAGACTAAATCTCATTTTATTGAAGATTTTTGTTGGAAATTACACCAAAGAGAAGGTGCCTGTGTGAACTGTGAAATGCATGCCCTTAATGAAATTGAAGAAGTATTCACATTGCATGCGATGAAATGTTCGCACTTCAAATTTCTGGACTATCCTTCATTAATGAATACAAATACATGTGATGAATCGTACGAGTGACAACAGGCACAGGTTTTGATAAATTCTCTGAGTGATGAACAGTTGGCAGCCTTTCAGGCCATAACTTCTGCCATCGAAGATCAAACTGTACACCCCAAATGCTTTTTCTTGGATGGTCCAGGCGGTAGTGGAAAAACATATAAAGTTGTAATACATTATATTAGAGGTCATGGTGGTACTGTTTTACCCGCAGCGTCTACAGGAATCACTGAAAATTTACTTCTTGGTGGAAGCACCTTTCATTTCCAATATAAATTACCGATTCCATTAAATGAAACTTCAATTTCTAGACTTGATATACAGAGTGAAGTTGCTAAAACCACTGAAAAGACCCAACTTCTCATTATTGATGAACGCACCAAAGCATCCAGTCATGCTATAGACGCCATAGACAGATTACTAAGAGAAATTATGAATGTGAATGTTGCATTTTGTGGGAAAGTTCTCCTTCTCAGAGGGGATTTTCAACAATGTCTCAGAATTGTACCGCATGCTATGCGATCGGCCATAGTACAAACGAGTTTAAAATACTATAATGTTTGGGGATGTTTCAGAAAGTTGTCTCTTATAACAAATATGAGATCAGAGGACTCTGATTATAGTGGATGGTTAGTAAAACTTGAAGATGGCAAACTTGATAGCAGTTTTCATTTAGGAATGAATATTATTGAAATCCCCTGTGAAATGATTTGTAAAGGACCTGTTATTGAAGCTACCTTTGGAAATAGTGTATCTATAGAAAATATTAAAAATATATCTAAACATGCAATTCTTTGTCCAAAAAAAAGAGCATGTACAAAACTTAAATGAAGTAATTTTGGAT